CAGAGCTGGAGTAGGGGCCGCAGCCCGAGCGCGAGCCGAGGCCGGGGCTGCCCGCACCGCCGCCGCTGTCCCGGCGGGAGCCCTCGCCCGGCTTCAAGAGTGCGGGGAGCTGGGAGAGCCGAGCAGGATGCGGGGCGAAGAAGCAGGCGACGATCAGGGAGCTCGGGTGTCGGGGGGCCAGGTCCAGGGCCGGACGCAGCCAGCCATTCAGGAAGGCAGCGCTGGAGAACGGGAGGCAGCCGGCAAGGAAGATCACACACTTTGCTCTTTTTGTTGTGCGGGTGGCGCCGGGTTCTCTCTGCCTTCTTCTTTCGGGAGGAGACGGAAGGGGGAGAAAAATACGAGATAATTCACGCCGGCGACGAATTCACAGCGAAATAGGAAAAAAATAAAAATCAGAAGAAAATATTTGAGAAAAAAACGAAAGAAAGAAAGCGAGAGAGACATCCAAAGTAGGTCGAATAAATAATCCTCTTCTTTTCCTCTTTCTTGCTTCTTCTGCTTCTTCTGCTATAACACACAGAGCTAGTTAAAAAAACCCTGGAGATCGCCCAAAAATGTTCTTTTTTTAGTATTTTAAATAAGTGCTCTTCAGCCGGGAACCAACACCCTCCCTCCAAAAAAAAATCATATATGTATAAAATAACGATAAGAAGAATACGCTGGGGGTGCCTCCTCCTTTTTTTTTCAAGTTTAGTCTCTCTTTTGCAGGCAAGGAGTGAAAGAGAGGAGGAGGGAGAGAAAGAGAAAGGGGACAACTAGTAGACTATGTAAGAAAAAGAAAGGGGAGAGACGGAGCAAGAGGAGAGTGGGTGAGAGAGAGGAGAGAGAGAGAGAGAGAGAGAGAGAGAGAGAGAGAGAGAGAGAGAGAGAAAGAAAAGAGGAGAGGAGAGGAGAGGAGAGGAGAGGAGAGGAGAGGAGAGGAGAGGAGGAGAGGGACCAAAAAATTGAAGGCGTTTAAACGGGAGGACACTCAGAGCAATGTTTCCGAAAGGGGGATCTGCGCGAATGTCTGTATATAGTGAACTTTGACACTACTATTGAAACTGACACGTTTCTATGGAGATCGCTGCCTTATATGGAGCTCGTGTCAAGGAGCCAAGAGAAGGGCTGCTGGCAACTGATAATCAAAGGCGACTGACTGGTCAGAGCCCTGAATGGGGGGGGAGAGAAAATGGGAGGCTAAGGTTAGCCAAGCCTCCTGCACGCCATTGGTTGGAAATCCCTTACCCCTCCCCCCCTTAGCTACCTACAGTAAGGGGTGTCGAGGGGAGGGGGAGAGAAAGTGAGGGGGGGGGTGTGCTTCTGACAAGCACAATTTACATTGAGATCGCCCTGCGCTGCTATTTACTCTGAGACCTGATTAGTATGGGTCGTGTATGGTCACACACACACACACACACACACACACACACACACACACACACCAGAGGGGGAAGGGATGGTGAGGGAGAGAATGCGTTGCGATGGGAAAAAACGAGAATGAGAAAGAAATTATTTTATATCTTCTGAAAACTTTTTAAAATAAGATTTTATGAGCGTCACTGAAAACGTTAGAAAAATTAATGAGAATTATACCACCATTTTAATGATTTGTGAAGTATAATGGGTCTAGAGTTTTCGTTCACATTCAACATAATCCTAGTCTGGATCCTACTAATTTGATATTATTAAAAAGTCTCCTCATTTAAAAAATTTGAAGTATATCATAGTTTTGGAGGCGTAATTACTACAAAGCTCTCTCAAAATTGCAGTTACTGCCACAAATTCGATCCGAATCGATGGTTCCTATTCATCCCAAATATGATCTTAAAATAAACTTTCCAAATCAATCCTGTTTTTTCTTCTTCATCATTTTTATCCCCAGGATGCTCCAACTCTAAATAGTGTTTCAATAATTATTAATAAAGCATTAGTTAGTCCTCATATTGTCGTGGGGGCGGCTGTTAGTGCTGACAACTCAGACTCACAGGAAAAGAGCAAAGGAACAGAAGACGGGAAGAGAGAGAGGGTCGGAGGAGGGGGACAAGAAAGGGAAAGAGGAGGAGGAGGAGGAGGAAGAGGAGGAGGAGGAGGAGGAGGAAGAGGAGGAGGAGGAGGAGGAGAAGAGGAAGGAGTCAGAGTTGTGTGTGTGTGTGTGTGTGTGTGTGTGTGTATGTATGTTTGGGGGGGCTGTTGAGACCCCATTCCCAAAGGTGATTGGTTGCAGAAGGAGGGGCAGGCGGGAGGAGCGGGTCCCGCCGCGGGACTTGCAGGAATCGCTAGGTCCGGCTGCCACCTAGCGGACGGGAGCTGGCTCCCAGGCGGCAAGCCACCGAGTCCCTCCTCCCCTCCCTACAGGCAGCCAGTGTCTTTTCTCCAAAGGAAGACAGCACTTTGAAAATTCTTTCAATGGATTTTTTTTTTCCTTGAAAGATCGTACTGGGGGAAAACGAAAACGATACTTCTATTAGTTACATAGTCTCCAATCCCACACTTGCACCCCCCGGTTTTAAGATCGCTCTCCTAGGCAGGCTCAGGCGGGCGCACAGCAGCAGTGACAAAGCCGCGGCTGCCACCGCCCGGAGTGGGAGTCCCTCTTGCCAGCCCACCCCTTGACTCGTGAGAGCGTAAAAGTTTGTCTCTGCTCAAGCGTTCCGAGCGCCCCCAGGTAAAGGTGGAAGCTGTATTGAAGAGGTAGGGTTTGGTTTTTAATATTGGGTCCCATTTTAAATCTCACTATGGTGGGGGAAGGTGGAAGACACTGCGTGTTTGAGGTACGCTTTACGCATCTTGGTCTCTGGAATCTACCGTTTAGTGGCCATTTTTTTTTTTCAAAGAGCAGAATAAAGAAAGACTTTCTTATGTGTGCCCCACAGCTCTTCTATTTCTAATATTGGAGACGGCCCCGGGTGGGGGGTGGCCCTTTTTTGGCGGGTGGGGGGGGGGGGGGGGGGGGGGGGGGGGTGACAGGGGCTCCTGGCCTTAGCCCTTCAGCCCTAATATTAATGTTCAAGTCTCCTGGTTAATTAAAAGGCGAAATTGAAATGGTTAAAAATACCCCTCAGAAAAGATAAAAAAAAGGAAGAAGAAAGGAAGAGGGAGAAAGAGTAGAGAGCGATGTTTAACTAAAAATTCTAAAATTTACTCCCCAAATAATCAGAGACGGAGTCATGAGCAGCTGAACGGAGCAGAGAAAGGGAGTCTGTTTGTGGGTTGTGTGGGGGGGGGGGGTTGAGAATCGCAAAAGAGTGGGAGAGGAAGCAAAAAGCAAGCGTCTGGGAACTGGAGGCCTGCTGGATGCCGGGTCCGCTGGTCCAGCAGTCCTCGGACTCTCAACTGTACACTGTGGGCACCGGAAACGAGACTCGGCACCTACCAGGCGAGTAAGGCAACGATAATCGTTTCTTTGGAACTTGGGGTCTGTAATCTTCAATAGCGTGGTTGGGCAGAAAGGCAATCTTCACTCGACCTGCGCAGCCTAGAAATGCAGTCAAGGCGGCCGAGGTGGGACCGGGAGAACTTTTGCTTGGGCCTGCTCGGGAGCTACTCTCGCCCTTCCTTTCCGCTGCACTCCCTTGGAGGTGAGGATCTCTGCCAAATCCAAATTCAAAGCAGGACCCCCCTCACTAGCCTCTCCCACCGTGGGTGGGAAGGACTGCGTGGGCAGGGGACCCGAGACCGCGTCTAGTTTCGAACCCGCGCGGCCAGCCCGCAGCGTGCGAGGCGGGAGCTGCAGTGGAGCCGGCTGGCCTGGGCACCTGTGCTAGCCGCGCTCAGCCTCCCGCCCACGGTCGGCGCGAGTAAAGTAAAGCAATCGATTGCTGTCCGTTTGATGTGGGCGATTGTGTCAGCGGATTAAAGGGGACATCAGCGGTTCTCCCAAGCAGAGAACCCGCGGCGGCCGCGAGAGAGCAGCGAGGTTGTAGAGCTAGACTCCGCTAGCAGGGCCAGGCGGCCTGGGGGCGGGGCGGGGCTCGCCTCCCAGGAGTGAGGACCGAGGTTGTGAGTGTGAAAGGAAGAGCTTCAATTAAAACCAACAGGAGCTCTCCCTCTCCCCCCCCCCCCCCATTTCGCCCGGCAGGGGCGCGTATTTGCGTCAGAGGGCGCGCAGGGCGGGCTCGCCGGGCGGGAGTGGGGGTGGGGAGCTGACACTCGGTACCGCGTCCGGGGGCTGGGGGCTGGGTGGGCTCTTGAATGAATCAGCCCTGCTTAGAAGGGCTAGTGGGGGGTCAAGTCCTGCAACAAAGCTCAAGGACTAGCAGAGACTCACTAGGAGAGATGTCGCCCACCCATCCTTTCGGTGGCCTTTTCTTCCCGCGTTCCCTCTCTGCCCCAAGCTTCCAAATTCGCCAAAAGGCCTCTGGGACCCAGAGTGACCCCCCCTTTTCCCCTCAAGAGTGAAGGAAATCGACCCCTTCAGACCTTAGGTGAAGCTACCAGCTCCTCTTGAATGAGATCGCAATTCTCAGTCTTAGCTCTAGGAGTAGGTATGGGAGGCCATTTGTTGGTGCCCATAGTAGGCAAAGTCTCAGGCCTTTGGAAAGGGGAAATGCTTGTTTTCTTTTGAGTCAAGTGTACCCAGTCTCTTGAGAGGAGTTAGCATCAAGCAGAGGCTTTTTGAGGAGGGCCTTGACCACCCTTGGGACTCAGTCTAGTCCAGAAGCACCTAGTACTCAACGTCTCCAGTGTCTGTGCTCTTCAGATTAGCCACACATCCGCTGAGTCCCACTTGTGCTAGGACTCACAGGACTGCCTTCACCAAAATGGCTTCTGTAGAGGCGCCGGCTGGTCAGCCCAGGGTTTGGCAACTTTTGGCCTTGTTTCTTAAAGCCGTGGTTTGACAACAGTGTAACTTGCCACAGTCGTCCCTGGTCCTAGTACCTATGGTTGGATAGGGCACCTCAGAAAAATGCTCATAGTTTTTCAAGGGCATCAGAGCCCTCAAACTGTGAAATTCCAGACACATACCCAGGCACGCTCAAATGCTGAAATGCTAGAATAGAAAGAGCAGTTGCGATTTCCATCGCTTCCCTCCCATTCTCTTTTTCAGCTTTCTTCCCCCTCTTCTCACCATACTGTCAGCCCCACGTCAGCCAGCCAGCTCCTTGGGAAAGTTAAATTGAGTTTGAAAGTGATTGCTGGACAGGCACCCGTTGTGAACTTGTGAACTTTGCCGCAACACCTTAAGGGTCTTGCTAGTGTGTGGTCGAGGGCAGGGACATGGTGCTTAGCTTTCTCCTGGGTCACTCCCTTTGCTTAGACAAGTCTGGGGACTCTAAGGGCCTTGCAGGGAGGCCTCTGGAAGGCCTCACCCAGAGCGTTCTTTTTTGTAGCTTTCTTTACTCTGCTAGTGACTATGGAGAACTGTCCAACAAACAGGGGCTCCAGTGCAATTCACCTAGATTAAATGAGAAGGTGCCCTCTGCTAGGGCAGGGGAGTTAAGCTGTGAATTCATTATATTCCTTATGCTCTTCTAGTATCATGGTTGGGTCTTAGTCGGTTTGCCTTGATTTTCCAGCCAGCTCTCTGGTGAGTGACGGGTAGAGGGGGAGGGATGCGGAGTCTGTGGCTACCCACATAGTGGGAACTGGTGTTCCAAGCCCAAGTTCCCGAGTCTAAGTGGCCTCTTTACCCCATTTACATAACCTCCATAGCTTTTTTACCAGGTAGGTAAATAGGCCAACCTATTCTTCTCTAATCCTTTGGCCTCGTTCACATTGTCAGTTTGTTCTCTAGAAAGACACAGATCACACACATTTTAGGTTTCTGTTAAGTTATATGGAAAAAGAGAGCTTTGTAGAGACTTTCCATAAATCTAGCTCAAGAGCCAATGAGACTGTCAAATGGCACATGTGGATAGAAACTTCTGTCCACCACTTTCATACCCTTACATTGTTAAAACAGTATTATCCTGTCTAGAGAAACCACAGGACAGAAGCAACCCTTTTACTGAGCTCATGTGAAGTGATGAACATGCTTGCAAACCCTTCAAGAAAGGTCAGTGCTTCTAATCCTGATGTAGGCCTTTCCCAAAGAGCTGGTTTTAAAGTTACCAAGTAAAGTCAGGGAGAACACAGTTGAAGGGACATGATATAAACATGATAGTGAACAGATCTTTTGGAGGGAAACAATGGGGAGAGGTATAGGAATGCCCAACTAATGTTTTAGGATTACTAAAGCTAAGATAATACATAGATAAATATGTTCCAGCTATATCAGAAATCTACCCTCCCATCCCAAGACTGACAATAGTCTGCATTATAGCTGCCCTTTGTAAAAATATTATGCCTCTGTTAACATGAAAGCCAGGGTGACAAGTCCAGGCTAGAATTTGGGCTTCAGCTGACCTGAGGAAATGAATCTAGCAGCCCATAGGGTTCAATGAGCTTGGAAATAGTAGGCTTCCATATCCCTTGTCACTCTGATAGTCCAGGCATTTCTTCTTAGTCATCTTTGAGAGAAAATAAAAGCTCAGAAATAAGTGCTTTACCTTAGTAAGTTGTTTAGTGTTCTATCTCAAACCAAGACATTTATAAAACATATTTTGGGAAAGATGAGAGAGACATCTCAGTGTGCCTGGGCTTTCAGTTAGAGAGCCCAGGATTAAGAATTCTGGGGGTGGGGGCAGCAAGAGGGTAAAGCAAGAGCTGACATTTAGATGCAAACCAAGAGGAAAATTGACAGTCATTTCCAGAACATCAGTGAAGTCAGAGTCAAATATTTGCCTTTTATAAAATCCAAGTATAGACTAAGAAATACTGCAAAAAAGAAAGAAAGGAAGAAAGTTACCTTTTAATGTTACAATACACATTCTTTTATTTTTAAATGCACGACTTGGCTGAAGAATAACAGCATAGCTAGTCTTCCCAGAGAAAATGGGTTGGTTTCAGTGAAAAGATGAAGTTTTGAAATGAGTTTGAAGGTTGTTAGACTATCCTGACAATACAATCGACTGTACTATATAATCATTTCCCTTAATAGTTACCTGTCAGAGCACCCCTTTCTCTCCCTACAGGATCAGCTCATCAGAGATAGAGCTGAGTTGGACATTTCACTAACTAAAGACTGCTTGAATATGTTTAAATCTCTAATTCCATTTTCTTCACTGACTATAATATAAACTAGTGATAGAGGAAAAGCCCAGCAAATCTAGTAACTGCATTTTTTATTACAATCGTATTTACCTACCAGAAAACTGATCAAAATAGGAAACCTAATAATTTCTTCCAAACTGTCAGTAGAAAGACATGTTTATTACAATGGTCTCCATGTTTGAGGGGGTAAAGTTTAAATAAAAAAGGATGAATACAGTACATCTCTGATACAAACCATACATAACAGTAAATAATTATGCCCTATGTGAGGATATGTATATTTTATTTTCCCATGTCAGAAGTAGAAAATCCATGTAGCTCATCCACAGGAGGAGTTAATAAAGTATTCCAAATGCATGAGCTAACAAAACTCAGGGTAGTTCTATGTTTTATTGTTAACCCCTTGCACGAAATCTTCTGAAGCTGAAAGGAGAAAGTAAAGGGCTTTTGTGTTAGTTGATCCTAGTCTATTCTAGGGCTCAGGTTGGTGTGAAAGGGATGAGGAGGTCACTTGAAATCTCCTTTTATCTACTCTTATTTTCTCTCTGGATCAGCAACTTTGAATAGACATCATCTAATCGCTCTTAATGGAAAGAAAC